TAACAATTTCATCTTAATTAGTTGTTATGGTGCCTGGAGGTCCTGCGCACAGTCTTGCATTATGGGGTTAAACAATTTCTGAATGTTTTAACCACAAAGTTGTTAAAACAACACCAATCCACTATGGTATTAGGTATCCGCCAATGGACCGAGGCTTGAATGAGGAAGGAATCGTGTGCTGCGGAAACTGTGTGTGTACGTATGTACCTTTCGTACATACGTACGTGACACTGTGTGAGGAGAATAGACACTGAAGCAGTATACCCAGTGAAGTGCAGTTTTTAAAGGATTTGCTTAACCCCTTAAGGACACATGACATGTGTGACATGTCATGATTCCCTTTTATTCCAGAAGCTTGGTCCTTAAGGGGTTAAAGGACCACTATAGTGCCAGGAAAACATACTCGTTTTCCTGGTACTATAGTGCCCTGAGGGTACCCCCACCCTCAGGGACCCCCTCCCGCCAGGCTGGATGGCGAGGAAAAGGGTTAAACTTACCTTTATTCCAGGGCCGGGAGCTCTCCTTCTCCTGGGCTGAATGCGCATGCGCGGCAAGAGCTGCGTGCGCATTCAGCCGGTCTCATAGGAAAGCATTCATAATGCTTTCCTATGGACGCTTGCGCCTTCTCACTGTGATTTTCACAGTGAGAATCACGCAAGCGCCTCTAGCGGCTGTCAATGAGACAGCCACTAGAGGATTTGGAGGCTGGATTAACCTATTTATAAACATGTTTATGTTTAACATGTTTATGTTTATAAAAAAAGGGGTTAATCCTAGAGGGACCTGGCACCCAGACCACTTCATTAAGCTGAAGTGGTCTGGGTGCCTAGAGTGGTCCTTTAAAGCGACTCTTCAGACACCTAATGCACTTTAGCTTGCTGAAGTGCCTTACATGTTAAAAGTGTTTTTTTTTATTTGCCATTTTTATAAATTAAGCTTGCTCTACCCTTTAGGCTGTCAATCACACAACCAGTCCTGAAACTTCCTGGTTATTTAGTGCAATATCCCAGAGCACCTGCCTTGCAAAGACATCTCATTGAGCTGCATCCAGTAGTCTGTGATTGGACAGCCACAGAAAGTCTGGTCTGGGTTAGAAAATGAAGTCTTGCAAAGGATTCGGACAAGACATTTGCAGCTTTTGCAAGCTATTTTGAGATATACTCCCAATGCGACAAAAAACAAAACAAAAAACCCCCATAATTAAATGCATGTTTTTATTGAGGGACATCTACTAAACAGTGATTTTTTTTGTTGGGCAGTGAAGTGTTTCATTAAACAATTCTTGTGGTGACCTGAGAGCCAACTCACAAACCTTAGTCTTATTAAAAATTAATTAGAAAAAATATAAAAGGTTTTAACGTTCCTTTCTAAATCACAGATCATTAGTCAAAGAGACACTCCACTACTCAAATGTGCAATCCAGTCCACTGTTTAACAGATATCTCAATAAATACATACATGCATTTTTCATGCATGTGTTCATGTGGTGTATGAACTGCATCCTTTGCAAGCCCTCCCCCTTTTTCTTAGGAGAGACAGTTTCTTCATAGGTAAATAGCCAATCAGAAGCTCTCGTACTGTGCAAATGCATGCGCTTACAGCATTCTGTTCTGAGGTCTGGCAATCAGGTATGCAGGAGGGAAATAGAGCAAGCAAACATCCCTGGCTGTTTGATTGACAGCCAGAGGTGTTTAATTAGTTTAAGAAGTGCAAATTTCTCAAAATCAGTAGTTTTATAAACAGTCATTATAATGAGATACCCCTCACCCATAAAGGGCCATTTTATTGGTGTAGAGTGGTCGTTTAAAAGGTTATGGGTGTGGTCCTTTAAAATCTGCAGTAGTGATCATGGGACCAGGAGTACCCTGGAATAAATAGAAGAGAATACTTTGTGCAGTTCTCTCCAATGCATCTGCTAGACCAGGGGTAGGCAACCTACGGCACTAGTACCATGCATGGCACTCAAGGTGTATTTGCAGGGCACTCAAGGCTGCTAGAGCCAAACAGGCTCTGGCCTATCAGGAGTCCCAGTAAAACTTCAGATATCTGCTAATACGAAGAGGTGGTGAAGGACAATCCTCAATTTATGCATTGCAGCACGTAGAGGAAGTGATCACAGATCACTTCCTCCCAGCACTTGTGAATGGGAATCCACACGGTAGTAGAGCAGCCCGCAGCTGCTGTTACAGCTCCTGTCCTTGACCTGTACCTGGGCAGCCTGGTCCCCACTGGAACCCAGGGAAGCCACCCACACTGCTAGATATACACAGAAATGCAGAATAACCCTCCCCTCATACAAATAATATTAACAGCCCACACACAAACATACATACAATCCGCACAAACGTAACCCGCTAACAATCCACATACATGCACACAACCCCATATGCAGCCTCTCACATGAAATTACCCCAAACAGCCCCCACACACTACCAAACACACAATGTGACATATCCATCCACACACAATTCCACAAGCAGCCCCCATACACAGCCCACATTCATATGTATCCTACACAATACCATAAACTACTCATATACAATATAATAGCTCAAATACTCACAAATACAACGATACAAAGCAATTCCAGTAAAAATAACACAAGCATAATACGGAAGCATACACACCTCAATTTAAAAAATAGGACCGGCACGCTACAGGACATCACAATCCTATATCGGCACAGTGCTGCTAAAAGGTTGCCTACCCCTGTGCTAGACTGTAATATTCAGTCAAAATGTTTGGTGGAAACAATGTAGCTTTAGTCTTGCAGGAATTAACAAATGTGTCTTCACTGCTGTAAGTAGCAATGCACAGCAACAATAAAGTATCCAATGCTTCACATGGTGCTGTTTTATCTAAAAACAAATGTGTTAACTTGTTTTAAAACATTAAAAATACAAACCCAGACTGTGTCAAAAGGACTTCACCTTGTGAAGCATTAGACACTTTACTGCGGTCAGGAGCAGGTCCAGATTAACATTGGGGCTGATGGAGCTGCAGCTCCAGGCCCAGGGAATTGGCCCATTTAAAAAAAAAAAAAAAATTTTTTTTTTTTTTTTTTTACACTACTCTTAGGTTTGCCACCTGACTGGTATTTTACCAGAACAGCCAGTATGTGAGGCTGCCTGGCCATGCCGGTATTGCAGTAATACTGGCAATACAAATGCAGATATGTTTTCAGTATAAATGTAGATTACTCTGCATTACCAGCACCAGTCAGTAGGGGTCACTGTGTGTGGAGAGGCAGGGATAGGAAGTTACAGCAAATCCCCATAGACATAGAATACGTAGACGCCGCATTGTGTGCTGAGCGGCGAGAAATCGCATTGTGTGTTGAGCGGCCATCTTGGACCAGGCGCCACTCTACTCAAGCTATTGAAGTACACTTGTAAAGTCCATCTCACAAAAGGTAAGTGAAGGACTTGGGGCACTTATAGTCCTTAATACCCCTACTCCTGCACATAGTCCTTAATACCTCTACCCCTGCACACATAGTGTGCTGGGGTAGGGGTATTAACACTATGCGTGCTGGTGTAGGGGTATTAACACTATGTGTAGGGGTATTAAGGACTATGTGCAGGAGTAGGGGTATTAAGGACTATAAGTGCCCCAAGTCTGGATGGACTTTCCAAGTGTTCTTCAATAGCTTGAGTAGAGCGGCGCCTGGTCCAAGATGGTGCCCACATTTCTCGCCGCTCAGCACGCAATGCCATAGACATGCGGCGTCTATGTATTCTATGTCTATGCATATCCCTCCCTGTCTCTCTCTATTCACTGATCCACGGGGGAGCAGCTATACAGCACAGAGTCCAGACAGCAGCTCAGGTAAGTGAGGGATGGGGGGAAAGGCAGCAGGGAGGCATGGGGACACACACACTAGGAGACACTGAGACACTTGGGGACACTGAGAAACATGGGGACACTGAGAAACTGTGAGATATGGGGACGCTATGAGACATAGGGAGACACATTGGGACATGGAGATACTAGGGACACAGTGTCTCCATATCTCCCAGCCAGTGTCCCCATGTCTCCCAGCCAGTGTCCCCATGTCTCCCAGTGTCCCTATTTCTCCCAGCCAGTGTCCCTAGTGTCTGTGTCCCCATGTCTGTATCCACAAGTGCCCCCATGTCTCCCAATGTCTTCAAGTGTCTCAGTGCCCCCGAGACACACTGAGACATGGGGACACTGGGAGAAATGGGGACACTGAGACACTAGGGGACTGGGTGACATGGGGACACTGACACTGTGATACATAGAGACACTGATGCCAGGCTGGCCTTACTATTCTTTGGACAGACATGCCCCCTTTTTGGGCATGTTTGCCCCTTTTGGCAGTTCTGGTCATGTGATTTGCGTCAGTGGCCCACCCTTTTACCCCGCCCATTGTCTTTCTGCTTCACTGGACACTGCTGTTAGGGGGTATGGTTTTACTTGAAAGCATAAATTAAAGAGAGATTAGCAGAGAGTATGTGTTTTCTTATAGCTGCATCCCTTGAGTTTCCCTCCAACACCATCTCCATCAGATACATGATGCTTGAGATGTATGACTGTTTTAGTGTTTTTGGTCAATAAGATTCTGTACTTAGGCCCCATCATAATTGTCAGCACCAGGCCCACTGGGATCCTAATCTGGCCCTGGTTAGGAGTAATAACAATCTGACCTCTTAACTGATTACCCGGGCTCCTAGGCTATTATCCACCTTGGTGAAGCTGATTTGCATTTGCCATTCATTGGCTGAGAGAGTGTCAGCTGACAGCTCTCAGCCAATGAAAGGCACACAGCACAAAAAAAATATTTTTGCACAGAATTGATATTAGCCAGCCCGGACCTCTTGTCTAGCTGGCAACTAAGCGGTTAAACTCACATATAAACGCAAGGCACCATAACCACTTCAAATAAGTGAATAGATCATCTCTTTAATAAAGCCTATTAATAATTCAGATTATTTACAGAGAAGCAATACACCAGGCTGTGTTTTACACACTGATCACCTGCTCCTACTACAGATACGGTTTAGATAGCCGGCACAGCTATCTAAACACTGATGTAAAATGATTTGTCAGCTGACTCGTGTTCAAGAGAAAGGAATGTAGTGATTGTGGTGTAAAGAAACTATGGGCGCCATTCCATACATATATATATATTTTTATTTTTGCAAAATCATTTTTCAGTGGTTTGATATAAATAAATAAAGAGGGCTCTCCCCAGCATACAGAGATTGGTTTAGCCCTGCACTCCCCACCAATCAATTAATAAACAAGACTTTGAAATTTACATTTTAAAAATATTTCCAGTGTTTTTATTACCTTACTTACCTCTTGTTTCATCCATCCAAAGCGGTCATAATGATTAATTTGTGGGTAGCGGTCCTTTTTCCTTCATCACACCTTCTACCAGATTTCCTCTATTTGATAAACAAAAGAACACTTTCCAAAGAAGGTCACAGAGAGTCTTATGATGCCGATGTACTGTCTTCATCAACAGCACATTTATTTTTCAAATATGTCTGATGGCACTTCATTCATCTCCCCCAGGCCATATAACAACAGGCCATTCCCTTGTCCACCTGTCTGTGCTTTGCTTTTCTTTTAATGGTGTTTGCGCAGGCCACATGTAAATATTGTCAGCATACCAGTTTAGGAGAGAGGGATGCTGGGAGGAAAGAAACAATGCTTCTATAGCATACACAGTATTTTAGTTGAACACAACCAAAAGTACCCATGACAGGTACACTTAAAAGTACATTAAAAACTACATTTTCTGTTGCTCCTTAGTCAACCATCTGTTTTTATATAAATGCTCATCACAAGAGGATCAGTTTTATCACAAGCAGAGTGGACAGCCTTTTGGAACTTCCATTTCAAAGACTGCTTTGTAAGGCATGTTTAAATTATATAGTACTGGTGATGGACACAATCGCCAATCTACACACAAACACGACCCAAAAGTCCAAACAATTCGACACATTTTCCATTAATAAAAGAAAAAGAAAAAGAAAGCAGTTTATTCGCATATAAAAAAGACAAAAGAAAAAAAGAAAAATTCCTGAGGTCACCTCCCCTCTAAATAAATGTCAGAGGGACCGGCTGTTCTTTGGTTACTTTAAGACACATGGGGTCATGCACAAAACTGGCAAGTGTGAAGAACCACAAGTTTTAAGACTTAACAAAACCTACATTTTTACAATTCAGCTGCTTTGTCCTTTAATTTCTAAGCACTTTATCAGTTCTCCACCCGCCCTGTTTTAGTGAAACCCTTACAGTATTAATCAAATATCCCCAAGCCCAAGTTTGTGCCTCCAATGGCTTTTAACGCGCAGTTGATTGTGAAACAGTACTGTCTTGAGATATACTCTGTGCTTGAAGGCAAGCACTCAAATAGTGTTAAGAACCAATGTGCATTGTTAAAACCTGCAGAATTAATAATGTACTGCCGTTTACGTAAGAATAAATGGTGAATGTGTTACAGATTGCCCTGTATTCCCATTCAGTGATAAAGGTCCCACAATGTTTACTGGTGAGTGGAAGGCCTGTCCGCTACACTGAATAAAAAGTGGTTCCGATAATGGATCCCCATTTTCTTCATTTACAAACTATGCCATGGACCCCAGAACATTATTTATTGAGTGAAATAAGGCACTAATGATCCCACTAGTGACGTGAGACAGGAAGAAAGGAACAGTCCAATTCATAACCAGGCACTTGTACCCTCTGAAGTCAAGAGCAGTTATCCAATTGCTCTTCCCTTTAACTAGTGAACACCCTCACATACGGCTAACTCTATCTTCCAGCCCCTGTAGCTCTTGCATGATTTGTGGTGGCAGGTCATCAGTCACTTGCTCAGACAGATAACGACCCACCTCCTGCACTTCCTTCTCCCAGAATCCTTTGGGGAGTGAAAACAGTTGTTCAGTATCAACTCCACCTAAACCCTGTAAGTCCAGAGCCCCCTCTGCAGGAAGATACCCAATGGCAGTTTGAAGGGCACTCTCCTCTCCTTCCACTCTGCGGAAGATCCAGTCGAGCACTCGAGCATTCTCTCCAAACCCTGGCCACAAGAACTGGCCATTGTTATCTTTTCGGAACCAGTTGACATGGAAGATTTTAGGAAGTTGTACTCCTTGTCTGTGCTGTAGGCTCAACCAATGAGAGAGGTAATGACCAAAATTATAGCCAAAGAATGGTCTCATTGCAAACGGATCATGCATGATGACTTTACCTGAAAAGAGAGAACAAATCAGCATGCTAAGCAGCAGGGGAAAGACAATAAAATATCAACTATGAAGCAGTGGAAGGAGGAGTGGTTTAATTTCCATTTAATAACAAATCCCAAAAAGAATTAAAGGAGGACAGAAGACAGTGGAAATACAATCTACAGAGATTTAACAAACACATGTGGAGAAAAGAGAGACATTGATAAATCTAGATGTTTATGGCTCACCTTTGTGCTCAGCTGCTGCTGTGGCCTCTGACCTCATGGAAGCTCCAACAAACACTCCGTGGTTCCAGTTGTAGCTCTGATAGACTAAAGGCACTCCTGCAGCATATGTAAAACATACATTGTAAGCAGTTTTTATATAAATAATTATATCCATTGATTACTGGGCATTTCTACTGGAAGTTCCTGCAGTTATGTGAAGACTCCTAGGACTCACATGTTAACCCAAGTCATTGTGCAAAGTTGAAAGCAGCATAATTATAGTCTGCTATTGTTCACAAACAAAACTCTAGCAAATTCACTATGCACAAAGCAGGTACCTTTATGGACTTGGACCATTTTCAACAGCTTAAGTCATAGAAACGTAGCACAGTCGGCTCATAGAGACTTATAATTCCTAGTTACCATGAACTTAACTTTTCTAAAGAATAATCAAACGGATAATTTGAAGGCTTTGGACCATGTTCCACCAACTCCCAGGTTTACTCTAACCAATATGAGGTTTAAAGAAGAACCCCTCTTAAAAGATCGTAAAAATAAATAGGACCACTAAAGTCACCATAAGTATTTCATCTCAATGAAGTGGTCTGGGTGAAGTGGTCCAGTCATTTTAAACCTGCCATGTAAAACACTGCTGGTTTGTGGAAATTGTGCTGTTTACATTAAATAAACCTCTAATGGCGATTATCCTGACAGCCACTAGAGGTGTTTCCTCCTCCAGAAGCAAGTGAAACTCGGCCCTCGATTTAAGTGCTGCTCATAGCAGCATTTGATTGTAGGAGTGTGGTGTTTGGCCGTGCATGCCTAATTCAGATCCATTGCTTTTCTATAACATGGGTACGGGAAACGAGGTGAGTAATCTATATTTTATTTAATGTTACTGAGCAAATGAGGTGAACAGTGATCACTTTGCTATAGTCCCGAAATAGCAATTGTTATTTTCGGGTCTGTAAGTTCAATTTTATATCATGTTGCCATTGGCAGATCTTATAAAGGACAGTAAGCACCATATCATCTAAAATTATTTGTAATGGTTATGGTTCTACGCAAAACCCATTGCCCCCTGTATTCTCCCCACCCATGTTGCAAGAACTGCTGTGTGTAACAGCCCTTTGTGGCATACACTGTTTATCTATCCAGAAGGAGTGACAGGAGATAACTGGCTGAGTGTATCATGCATTAGATGGCAAAAGACAGTCTAAGGAACAGCCCAATTTCTTTCCTGATTATATATGCTGGAAGTTTACAGAGTTCATGTTTCTCCGTTCTACTGCATTTAATTCAACTTGTGAGCTCACAACTAGCTGACTTCCCTCACTCTTTTTATTTGAGTTTGCAGTGCACTTGACCAAATGGTTCCTAATAGAGGCAGATGGGAAGATATGGTGGGGATAAGTAAGGGAATGGGTAAAAGGGCAATTGTTATCTGAAGCTTTATGTGTGGGAAGGAGGGTAGTTGTTGGCTCAAGTAGTCAGATGCAATAATAAAGGAAACCAGAAGATGACAGTGTGCCCTAATAAGGGATTTTTGAATATAATATTGCTGTGATTTGTGGATGTAAACTAACAGAATATGCAGTAAATCTGGTGTAATGCATTATGCTTTGTCTCACCCTCTGGTCTTCGTCCACCGAATATGATAGCATCTATAGGGACACCTTCAGGTGACTCCCAGTCTTCATCCATAATTGGGCACTGAGCAGCAGGAGAGCAAAACCGAGAATTGGGGTGAGCACTGGGTTCTTTGTCACCTGCCGAAAGGGAATGGTCCTCTATAATTAACATAAGAACCCACACAAACAAAAAAGAAAGAAAAATACCACAACCCAAAACAGATCTGTTTGTTTGAAAATAACTTTGTAAAACGACTAATTATGCCATGTACTCTTAAAAATCAACCTTTAAAAACAGACATTTAGCGTAAACAAAACCATAAATGTCTTATCTGTTTCTGGGTTTTAAGAACAAATTGCTATATTCAGAAACACGTGTCTGTTTCCCATGAAACTATGCAGTGTAAACTTTACAGAGGGAAAGGAAACAGATCATGCCATTTAATTCATTGTTTTAAGAACTAAATGTAAGTATATAGCCCTTTCTGACATGGTTAAAAGAATTTCTTACCTGGTTTCCATTGCTTTCCCAGCCAGGAAGTGACAGTTACTCCTGGTGGCAGTGGTTGATCCAGCCCTTCCCAATAAACTCCGCCATCGCTGGTCTCAGCCACGTTTGTAAAAATGGTGTTGCTTTCAGCTGTGCTCAGAGCATTAGGGTTTGTCTTTGCTGATGTCCCAGGAGCCACCCCAAAAAATCCATTTTCTGGGTTAATAGCACGGAGACGCCCTATCATAAGGAGAAAATGTTACGGTGGAGTAAAAGAATATAAATCACCATACAATTTCACCACATAGTAAGTACTTCACCTGCTAATACATCCATCCACACCAAATTCAAACACTCTGCCGTATCAAAAGTAATGCCACTACTTAATATGCATACCAACACGCAGTCTCTGCACATAAAAACCTCAAACAAACCCTCCCACCCAAAAAACTCTAATACTAGTCAATTCCTCAGATTCAAGTATTGCACAATGTCTGAGAGGCATAGTCCCTTACATAGATTATGCAAATTAATATCTGCTAAACACAAAAAGTTTACACACAAACCTTTATATACCCCCTCTCAATATGAAACATGAAATATATGTTCTTAAAAAAACACACAGGAGTTCTCTATTATTTCCTCTTTTACAAGCCTTTCTTCTTCAATCAAATCTATATGTATGCATCACTTTCATCCACATTTTTCTGTTCCTCACAACATTTTTAATTAACCCCAGTTACTCTAGATCATTTGCCTCTCACCTTGACTATCAAATTTCATCCAGGCGATATCATCGCCGACACACTGGACCTTCCAACCAGGTAAAGATGGACGCATCATTGCAAGGTTAGTTTTTCCGCATGCACTTGGGAAGGCAGCTGCAATATATCGTTTCCGACCAGCAGGATTTGTGATCCCCAAGATCTGGAATACAGGAGATGGAGAGTAAAAATAATCCTTTGAATTAGAAAGTTGTATTAAAGGAAGCTGTTAACTTTGGACTCACCAGCATATGTTCAGCCAACCATCCCTCATCCTTGGCTATGCGAGAAGCAATGCGCAAAGCAAAACATTTTTTCCCAAGCAGAGAGTTTCCTCCATATCCGCTGCCAAACGAAATGATTTCACGGTTGTCAGGAACATGGGCAATAAGAGTCTTCTCAGGATTACAGGGCCATGCATTGACCAACGGGGCTACAAAAGCATATATTGCATAAATACATACAATGTAATAAATATTTACTTTCATATATCTGCAAATTTATCCAGCCAAACCCTGATGTGAGTATGGCAAAGAGTTGCCACTAAAGTTGGCTATACCTTTCAAAGGGAGGGGTTGTCCAACAGAGTGTAAACATTTCACAAAGTCTCCTCCTTCCAAAGCCTCTAGAACCGGCGTGCCCATCCTTGTCATTATGCGCATGCTGGCAACTACATATGGAGAGTCTGTAAGCTGGACTCCATACTTAGACAGAGGAGACCCGACTGGACCCATACTGAATGGAAGCACATACATAGTCCGACCTGGTGAGAAAGGAGAAATATTAACGCTAGTAAGACAATAGAGAGACAAGCACAATTGTCTCAAGTCTCTATGATTGTAAATAGGCAACAACATGAGGAATGAAATCTGTAAGAGAACCATGAGAGAAAACAAAACAAGGAATTGGCAGAAGATAAAGTCTGAGGGCATCTAGCAAAACAGTACAGAGGGTATTCAGACCTTTCATACATCCTGGAAAACGCTCGTTCTTTGCTCTTTCAAATTCTTGTGGCGCCATCCAGTTTCCAAGTTGCCCTTTGACACCTGATGCAGGAATTGGCACTGTGTCTCTCTGCTTCTCTGTGACAATCACAGTTTTACTCTCAACTCGTGCTACATCCTTTGGATCGGTTCGAGCCAGCCAGCTGTCACAGCAGAAAAAGAATTAAAGCAGTGACTGAATATATTTAGGGATTGTGACAATTAAAAGTCATAGAAGGCTTGTAGAGAGACTGGATATCTTTCAATATCACCATCGGTCTGTGGTGGTACAATGCTCCATACGTATGGCTCCTTGACAGGTACGGTTCCCAGATTAGAAACCAATGTTCTCCATTTTGTTTGTTTTTTCTTTTCTCAAGAGGTCAAGCAAGAACATCCAGTTTGGTAATGTGGGATTTAATGCTTTCTCTACATTGGGCATAGCTTGGCTTTGATGACAAAGCTTACTTTGACATTATTTATTCTTTTTATCCATATTTCTCAGTCTGATCTATAGTTAATCTCATATGGGCATTCTTACACAGAATATTATGTGCAACGGCTTTCTCTCCTTGAGTTTTGATCAGAGCCGAAGAGACCACGAGTCACTGATGATGGAGCACTATAACAGTGAGCAGACGTAAACCATATTGTTCACGAATAGTTATAACAGAAAAGGGGAGCACAAGTAATGGTTTTCTGGCAGAAAGTTCTTACCAGTTGTTGTACTTGCTTAGTTTCTTTATCATCCCCTCCTGTTGCAGTACAGTTAGTATGGTATCATTCTCTGCTGCAGACCCATCACAGATGTGGATGTTTTGGGGGTCACACAGCTCTGCTCCTCGCACCACAAATTCTCTGACAGCAGGTGGAAGATGTCCCATCTGCTCACTCAGGGCCTTTGCATGTGAGCTTCGGCATTTTGCTCTTTGAGATTCCACCCATCTTTTAACCGTTCGTGAGCACGGCCTGCCAAAGAGAAACATAAAAAATATATTTAAAAAAAAAAATACATAAAACACACTAGTATGTAAAATAAATAAAAATAAATAGATAACAAGTGAACACTCCAAAATACACGCATAAACGGTGCCCAGAGATTAAGCCAATGCACACACACAAGAGACTTAAACTTTGCTCCGCAATTATTATAATAAAAATAGCAACAGTAACTTCCATTCAGACCACAAACCTCCTAGTGATTTACACAACCATACTATAGGCAGGAATGGACAATGGCCTCTCATCTTCATTTTCTTTATTTATCTAGCTAATCTGAAAAACAGTAGTAGTGCAACAATAGGCTCTTCGCCTGCTGTGTTTTCCATTTAACAAGTGTCTCAAGTAGCAGGACATAGTTCGTCCTCTGTGTCCCATTTCAAAATTTGGCTCACCCCACATTATTCCACTGAAGTGTTAACCAAAACAGCTAAGACATGCTGATAGACAGTCATGCAAGCTGTCTGCTGACTATTAAAATATTCTTACCTGCTGCTCATTTCTTGTGATTTAGAATTGCCTAGTTCTGATAATGTCATATAGATGGATTTCTATGAGATTAGGTAATTAGTGTGATAGCAGTATTATCAGAACTATTCACCATGCCATAATTGGCAAAAATTCAGTGCAACATTTATGTAAATGAAGCAGACATTTTGTTGTTGTGTTAATGATTACTAACCATATGATAACCTGGTTAATTGGAGATATAATAACCTGCTAAGGAGTGTGGTTGTAAACAGATTCATGAAAATAAAACGGTATCACTGTCACACATTAACAGCCAAACACTCCATAAACAACCAATGGCCAATGTATTATTAGTTTTATTTGCCCATTACTACAAACTAAACTGAGTGAATGTGACTACCACTCTATATCTAAATGATGCAAGATATTGCTCGAACAATCTTTATAATGAGTTAGATGTGTGTGCACTGTCTGCAGTTCTTCTCTGGGGGGTTACAGTCCTGTCTCTTTAGTTTACATAGAATGACCTGATAAGGAAAGATATCCTGGAAATGGCACTTACGTGGGTAAAATTGTTATTAAGTGATTTCAGAGGAGAATAGGTAGCTGTCACATGACAGTAATATACTGAAGGGCATCTAGAACTCAAGACGTTGAACCTTGATGTGGAACATCTACAACTGTACAAAACCATACTGGGTACCACTATTAACAACTAGGAACATTAGAATGTGAGGCTGCAATGAGCATGCAACCACCAAACATTCTACTGAAGATGTTGCTAGTCTGATGGATGGTAAGAGTATGATGTAAAATGTATATATTCCAAGTTTAATCCTGCCTTGTGTCCATGATACAGTCTATTGGTGGTGGGGTAAACAGGTGTGGAATGTTTTCTTAGTTACCTGATGTCAAATATGAATCACTCTAATATTGCAGACCACATGCATTCCATTAAAGATAAAGTCTACCCATGTCCATACTGATACAACCTGTTATGAAGGACATACATGACCATGTTGATTACTTCACTTTACTCCAGTCCCCAAAAGTTGATCCAATATCGCACTTCCCCCCATTTTATTTTGAAGCTACGTTTATGGAATTAGGATTTATCCTGGACCAATATGTCATTGACACAAGCTGTTTATGGAACTTGGGTCTAGATTGCAGGCCAGCTTTTCAGAGCTTTGTTCTTCCATGTATCGTTTTACAGAGATCTATAACGTTCTCAGTCCAGACACTCATATATAAAGCAGAAACATATTCTGCAGTGCTGCTAAATATGTAAATGATTCATACAAAGAAAAATGACAAAATAAGACAGCAGGAATAACAGGTGACAATGACACTGCTCATATGAGCTTACAGTGGGAGAGTTATATTTACTACATCCATTTGGCAGCATTTATGCAGCTGTAAATGGTTTTGTAGAAAAGAATCACTAGGTTATTTCATCCATCTGAAATACTTAGCAACTAACTAATGAGGAAAGGGATTTAGGGGTGATTATTTCTGATGACTTAAAGGTAGGCAGACAATGTAATAGAGCAGCAGGAAATGCTAGCAGAATGCTTGGTTGTATAGGGAGAGGTATTAGCAGTAGAAAGAGGGAAGTGCTCATGCCATTGTACAGAACACTGGTGAGACCTCACTTGGAGTATTGTACACAGTACTGGAGACCGTATCTTCAGAAGGATATTGATACCTTAGAGAGGGTTCAGAGAAGGGCTACTAAACTGGTTCATGGATTGCGGGATAAAACTTACCAGGAAAGGTTAAAGGATCTTAACATGTATAGCTTGGAGGAAAGACGAGACAGGGGGGATATGATAGAAACATTTAAATATATAAAGGGAATCAACACAGTAAAGGAGGAGACTATATTTAAAAGAAGAAAAACTACCACAACAAGAGGACATAGTCTTAAATTAGAGGGACAAAGGTTTAAAAATAATATCAGGAAGTATTACTTTACTGAGAGGGTAGTGGATGCATGGAATAGCCTTCCAGCTGAAGTGGTAGAGGTTAACACAGTAAAGGAGTTTAAGCATGCGTGGGATAGGCATAAGGCTATCCTAACTATAAGATAAGGCTAGGGACTAATGAAAGTATTTAGAAAATTGGGCAGACTAGATGGGCCGAATGGTTCTTATCTGCCGTCACATTCTATGTTTCTATGTTTCTATGTTTCTATGTTTAACCCCTTAAGGACAAATGCCATGTGTGACATGTCATGATTCCCTTTTATTCCAGATGTTTGGTCCTTAAGGGGTTTAATAATCTATGAAGTGTTCTGGAAATCAAATTGAACAAATGGAATACATTTCAAACAATGAGCACATTATAAGGCCCATTGTAATTAATAATAATAATAATGCAACTCAAGCAATAGAACCAGACACACTGACACACTCCAGCCACATGAGGTCTAGCATTGCCTTGCATTAGGAGAAACCCAGGGCCACACCAGCATATGGTCTCACAAGGGGTCTGAGGATCTCATCTCGGTACCTAATGGCAGTCAGGCTACCTCTGGTGAGCACATGGAGGGCTGTGCGGCACCCCAAAGAAATGCCACCCCACACCATTACTGACCCACTGCCAAATGGTCATGCTGGAGGATGTTGCAGGCAGCAGAACGTTCTCCACAACGTCTCCAGATTCTGTCACGTCTGTCACATGTGCTCAGTGTGAACCTGCTTTAATCTGTGAAGAGCACAGGGTGCCAGTGGCGAATTTGCCAATCTTGATGTTCTCCGGCAAATGCCAAACGTCCTGCACGGTGTTGGGCTGTAAGCACAACCCCCACCTGTGGACGTCGGGCCCTCATACCACCCTCATGGAGTCTGTTTCTGAACGTTTGAGCAGACACATGCACATTTGTGGCCTGCTGGAGGTAATTTTTCAGGGCTCTGGCAGTGCTCCTCCTGTTCCTCCTTGAATAAATGTGGAGGTAGCGGTCCTGCTGCTGGGTTGTTGCCCTCCTACGGCCTCCTCCACGTCTCCTGATGTACTGGCCTGTCTCCTGGTAGCGCCTCCATGCTCTGGACACTACGCTGACAGACACAGCAAACCTCCTTGCCACAGTTCGCATTGATGTGCCATCCTGGATGAGCTGCACTACCTGAGCCACTTGTGTGGGTTGTAGACTCCGTCTCATGCTACCACTACAGTGAAAGCACCGCCAGCATTCAAAAGTGACCAAAACATGAGCCAGGAAGGATAGGAACCGAGAAGTGGTCTGTGGTCACCACCTGCAGAACCACTCCTTTATTGGGGGTGTCTTGCTAATTGTCTATAACTGTCACATCTCTGCAAATTACACCATTGAAATAAATCACCAACAACTTTGTTAATGTTTTCCTTCAAATTACCTTTAAAAGATTCATTAAATGACAACACAACCCAGCTCCGTTAAGGCACAACCAGGGCATGCATTGCAAATGAGGGGAACTAGAAACATTGTATTATTCTGTATGCTTTATCTATGCTGACTGCCAGGCGCATAGGACATAACAAGGGAGCAAGGACAGAGGTACCCAGTTGGCATAACAAGGGAGAAAGGACAGAGGTAGTCAGTTGGCATAACAAGGGAGCAAGAACAGAGATACCCAGTTGGCATAACAAGGGAGAAAGGACAGAGGTACCCAGTTGGCATAACAAGGGAGCAAGAACAGAGGTACCCAGTTGGCATAACAAGGGAGCGAGGACAGAGGTACCCAGTTGGCATAACAAGGGAGCAAGGACAGAGGTAGTCAGTTGGCATAACAAGGGAGCAAGAACAGAGGTACCCAGTTGTAGGATAAAGAGGTGTTTATGGTTAACTTTCATTTTCACAATATATCACTCCATATTTGTTGAAAACAAAGGCACAATTATATATAATATTAAAAATTATAGGAAGTGACAGTTCTTTTTTAATGCAAAAGTAATCTCTTTAGGGGCTTTCAATTCTCTGAGCCAAGCCCAACAGTGCAGGGCTAGCTCATTAGCTGAGAGTGTCAGCTTCCACTCTCCTTTAGGCTATAGTGGAGGAGTCAAGTGGCACCGGGGGAACCTCCATTCTAAAATGTTACTCAAGATGCAGGGCGTAGTGGTTCAAGTGCTTGGGGTGCTTTAGTTTGAGAACATACTGAGTTTAATGAAAAACCCTTATAGAGAATTGTAAGATAAATTGAGGAGTACCAATAGGTAACAGAGACACTGTGCCATGAATCGCTTTCAAAAAGAAAATCCATTAGATTAAACTAACTTGTAAACAGATCTAATTTTAAATAGAATACAATTATTGTGAATTTCAGAACTGAACTTTCAACATGTTTTGAAAAAGGTTACAAGGAACATAGTACAGGATCTACCCTATATTTTCAAGGAAGTATTTGTCAGGTGGAAACAAAATCTCTAGGTTTCCTCCTGGTAACATTATAATGCAGGTCACAGTGCTGTCTCATTATTTGCACCAGTTCATCTTGTTTTGCTAAACTTTCTAATTACACCTCCACCACTACCCCACCTCTGTGACCTTTAACCTGAACACTGGATATACAGCACGTAGCAAGAATTATGTTCATGTAGACAATGATACATATTTGCAGTGGGATGGATTTAAACATAACAGAGTCAAAAATAGATATCCATAATACATTCTTGCTCTTTCATGCCTCCCCCTTAAAAGTCTATATATCTGTTTTATCCAGTCCTGATGAATAAATATAGTGTATAGAAAATACAAAAGCCTTGTGCAGACATACTGCAGCCAAAAGAATATTGGGCAATGAATTATAAATATACTTGTACCTATCCAGTAATGTACATCTCAAGGATATCACTGTATTACCTAGACAACATTGTCTGAGCCTCACAATCTGCATCAAAGAGGCATTGTCACCGTCTGGGGACTTTGCAAGGGGTCCGGTGGCCCGGAAGGGGAAGACACGCAAAGGTGAGTACTACTTACCTGAAACTGCCCCCCGCAGTGGACTACCATCCTCTTTCGTCTGTTCTCTTCAGTTCCTGGCACTTCAGCTACCAGGAGCCGATGTCAGTGCTGTCATCTCGCACATTCGCAAGAGTACAGCAGAGAGGTCTACAGAGTATCTGATGGGATCCTCCATAGACAAAGCTAATTTCCCTGCAGCCATCACTGGCAACGGCTGGGTGATTGACAGTTCTTGATGGCTGTGGTTCTGCCCAGTGTCATATACTGAGACAAAGTAGTCCCACTTTGTCTCTGTATAACTTTTGACTGGGTTTGAATTTCAGTGAAATTCCAACACAGTCAATATGAGTATTTCATAAAGATTATATCTTGTATTGAGATACTAAATTTCCCGTGCAGCTCTGGTCTCCACAGTATATCCATTTGATAGGAAGAGCTGAGTTTTATTTCACTATAAAGCGCCTCTAGTGGTTGTCCTGCAGAATGACAATGTTTATAACTACAGGGTTAAAAAAATTGGGTTTTGGAAGGGAGGGCATGGCAACACGGGCCACTTCATTGAGATGATGTGGTCTGAGTGCCCATAGTTTTCCTCTAAGCAAAGTTTCATTGGGAGAGGGGATGTAATCATTAGGGGCATTAGTAAAGAAAAACGGAAAGATAAACAAAACATGACAGTGCCACTAAATACCTTGAAAATTTAAATACATTGGAAGTGCAGTTTTAGAAAATGATGCACCCCTGCTCACTATCCCTCGGTGCCCCTGGCATTGGGTGGCAAAGCTGCTGATCAGGAGGGAACTCTGCCACCGCTCTGCTTTCCCCATCCTAAACTCTCAACCCTAGTAAGAGCAGCAATCCTACTAATATTACAGCTATACGAGCCATTTGCCATGTATCAGTCTGTCCTTTTGTCCACCCACAAGCGGCATTGCTACACTTTCCACAGAGTGTTCCATCAGTGTGGAGGTCACAGTGAATCAGACAGTAACTTAGTGCCATTCAGGTCACACTGAGAGTACATGCTTCCCTTACTCTTCAGCTCTGGCACAATGCACATGGTTTACTCTATCAGTCCTGCATTAAAGGCTGGAAAGCGACCGCATGCACACCATTATTCACCTTCCCCCCAGCTTGCACCCGAATACAACCACAGCACTCCAACATTCACCCGCAGCTTGCACCCTAATACAACCACACGACCCCAACATTCACCCGCAGCTTGCACCCTAATACAACCACAGCACCCCAACATTCACCCGCAGCTTGCACCCTAATACAACCACAGCACCCCAACATTCACGATCCCCGTAGCTTGCACGCTAATACAATCACAGCACCCCAACATTCACCATCCCCGCAGCTTGCACCCTAATACAACCACAGCACCCCAACATTCACCCTCCCCACAGCTTGCACTCTAATACAGCTACAGCACCCCAACATTCACCCTCCCCACAGCTTGCCCCCTAATACAACCACAGCACCCCAACATTCACCCTCCCCGCAGCTTGCACCCTAATACAGCTACAGCACCCCAATATTCACCCTCCCCACAGCTTGCACCCTAATACAACCACAGCACCCCAACATTCACCCTCCCCGCAGCTTGCACCCTAGTACAACCACAGCACCCCAAACATTCACTCTCCCCGCAGCTTGCACCCTAATACAACCACAGCACCCCAAATATTCACTCTCCCCGCAGCTTGCACCCTAGTACAACCACAGCACCCCAAACATTCACTCTCCCCGCAGCTTGCACCCTAATACAATCACAGCACCCCAACACTCACTTTTTTTAGCAACATGCACCCAAAAATCACCCTTCTAGCAACGTGCACCCTAACATTCACCCTTCTTGTAACATGCACTCCGAAAGTCACTCCTAGCAGAATACACCCCAACATTCACCCCTAGCAATCTGCACCCCAAAGCATAACCTAGCAGTATGCACCCCAACATTTATCCCTCTAGTAACATGAGGTCCAACACTCCCCCCCAGAGCATGTACCCCAACATTGCCCCTTCCAGTCCCAGCACTCACCCCACAGCTCGCAGGTAGAAGGAAGGCATGCTAACGGCAGGAGAGAGCTAGGAGCCGGTCAGAGGGACTCTGCGGACTGTGACAGAGGAAGGGGTGCACAAATACACAGCCCGGGGAGGGGCAAGGGGTAGGGAGACCAGAGGAGGGGCAGGGCAACAAGGAGCCCGGGCTAAGGGTGGAATTGGACCAAAGGTCTGATCTTGTTTGCCTGTACGTGTGTTACATCCTGTATCTCTATCACAGCGCACACACCCCCTGTCACCCGCCTGCTGCCCTCCACCCCCTCCACATGTCCCTAACTTCCTAGAATAGCCGGCACATCTCTAGCTGCCCATTGGCTGGTAGAGGGACAGGCCCGACAAGCCCCCCAGGCCAAGCACCACCCCCCACCAGGCGAAACGTCTACCCTAGCAGCCAGGATTCCCTCAGTCATTACCCCCCTGCCCGAAATGCAGGCTCCTCCCCAGCTGATGTAAGAACAAACTAGTCTTAAGAGAGATACTAAAACTCACCCCCTCCCCCACCATGAAAAAAACCAACAAAACATATAAACCACACTGACAAGATATGGACATTCTAAAAACAAAATACACACGTGTACATATCTAGATTGGCATCCTATAAAGAACCAGGCTATACAGAGTTGTTGTGAAATGTGTCGAGTGGTCAAACTTCTATAGTGATGGCTTTGGGGATCATTCAAAGCATTTTATGTACAGAGTGAAACTTTGATATTATTTTTGTTACTACCTCATATTGGGTGAAAAGAATGTACTAAATATGTTATGTCACTATAGTTACAATAGGGATGTTCATTAAAGGAACGTTTTAAGGCACCATATCAGATTCATCTGAATTCATTTGGTATGGTGTGAAGAGATTCCCATGTGCCACCTTGAATCAGGATGCCTCGGGCAGGGGCACCGCTAAAAAAAATGAAAGCATCAACTGACACTCTTAGCCTCTCAGTAACTCTTCATTCACTAAACTTTTTGATAAAATTATCTACGTTTCTTAAAGGACCACTATAGTATCAGGAAAACATACTCGTTTTCCTGGCACTACAGTGCCCTGAGGGCTCTAGGGGGAGGAAGGGGTTAAACTTACCTCTTTCTCCAGTGCCGAGCAGGGAGTTCTCCTCCTCCTCTCCGGCTGAATGCGCATGCGCGGCAAGAGCCGTGCGCGCATTCAGCCAGTCCATAGCATTCTCAATGCTTTCCTATGGACGCAAGCGTCTTCTCACTGTGAAAATCACAGTGAAAAGCGCGGAAGCGCCTCTAGCGGCTGTCAATGAGACAGCCACTAGAGGCTGGATTAACCCATAGGTAAACATAGCAGTTTCCTTGAAACTGCTATGTTTACAGAAAAAAGGGTTAAGCCTATCTGGACATGGCACCCAGACCACTTCATTAAGCTGAAGTGGTCTGGGTGCCTATAGTGGTCCTTTAAGACATTTTGTGAATGGCAAGTTATTGATAGGCTGTCCCTGTCCGAGACTTTCTGGTTCAAGCCTCAAACCATGATGAAAAAAAGTGGGCAGAGAGCAAGCACCAAATTCTACACTTTAATGATTCATTGACAGTTTAACCCCTTAAGGTAATCCGGCATCTGGGAACCTCTGTGCACTATAACAACTTCTGGTTCCCAGAGTGTCCCTTTAACACTTAGATGATAATACATATACTTATTATATTTTATTTTTTCATCTGCATCTTCAATAAACTATTAGCAAAAATAAAATAAAATAATAGTTTAAGCTTATGCATGTCCTACAAAGTGTTAAACCATTGCAGTAGCAGTTTCATAGACAGGGTTTTCACTAAAGTGAGAATTCAGAGTGAATTTCAAATGTAAAGAAAATAGCCAAACTTGAAAAATGTTATATCCCCCCTCTCCTTAAAAACCTCCAAAACACTTAGAACAAAATTTCATAAAGATACATGATACAATATCTATGGTGTCTTGATGACTCCCACGGGCACCACCGTAGACATCAAGAGGAGATGCCGATTGGTGCATGCAATGTTTTGCAGCACATGCACAATACCCTCCCAATGCCTTCCTATGGCAAAACATTGGATCGGCTGAGATCATCAATATTAACGATCTCAGTCATGGAAGTGGTGCACAGGTAAGACTGGCATGGAATGGTAAAAAGGTGAGTAAAAACACATTTCCCATGTGATCGGCGGGGGGCTGGGAACCTAAAGCGTTAGTTTAACACTACAGTTTCAGGAATACATGTTTGTATTCCTGATACTGTGGTGTTCCTTTAACTCTAAAATTCTCACTTTATTAAATAAACCTTCTCTGAGTTTTTTTGGAAAAGTTACCAGGCCCCTTCAATCTTGCCATTCAGGTCTGTTAAAGCTTCTCTATTTCCTGGTTGCCATCTTCTTAGCTAGGTATGATACCCCTAATGATGTCTACTATATGGTGAATGGCCACATCCAATCTATTGCTAATTTAGAGCAGGCAGGCACTGCCCACAGTGCACATGGATAGACATCATGCATCTGCTGCACAGTTAATTGTCCAAGACCATGCACAAATTAATCAGCTAAACTCAATCTGCCCTGAGATAATTTTTTTAATTCCAAATACTTTTATATGATACCAGGGCTCATGGCTGCATTGAAACTTCTCAGTTGCCTGCATAGTGGCTTTTAATTCTTAACTTGGCTGCAGACAGTCAGAAAAACTGCAAACAGGTATTGATAGCATTACTATATGTCTCCCTGGGTGCCCTCGCCTTCTAATGTAAGTTATTTTGTTGTTCAGATCATTCAGTGCTGCCTACTTTTTCTGCAGTGAGGGGGTATGGCAAAACATCTTTTTAATGCAAAAACTATAAAGATTTGAGCATGCAAAAATACAGCATATTAATGGGGCCAACATCTATCAAATGCATTCAAAGTGTATTTGTACCTGCAGTGTCCACTTAAAGTGGCTCTGTTACTTTTCAGTATTTGATTAAAATATAATCTTTATTAAAGGGACATTATAGTTACCAGAACAACTACAGCTTAATGTAGTGGTTCTGGTGAGTATAGTCAGTCCTTACATTGCAGCTTAGAGACACTAGCTGCTCCTCAGATGATGATGAGGTGATTCCTGGGGCAGTGCTGCACAATGTGTTCCTGGAGCAATGCAGCACTGACATTCAGTGTTTCCGCCATTTGCAAGGAGGCACAGAACTTTCCTCATAGAGATGCATTGATTCAATGCATCTCTATGAGGAGATGCTGATTGGCCATGGCTGCATTTGTCTATGCCCCCTGCCCTCCCACTCAGGCTGCCTCCTGGGCTGAGATCATCAGAATTGACAATATCAGCCAATCCAATGCTGTCCAATGGGAAAATATTGTGATTGGGTGAGATCATTACTTCTGATGATGTCACTGAAGGAGGCAGATCAGGGGCAGAGCCAGCATCAGTGCCAGTAGACTGGAATAAAGGAACTATTTTACTATATTTAGCAGGGTAACTTTTGATTGAAGGAACTATTTTACTATATTTAGCAGGCTATCTTTTGATTGAATTTCAATACAATCAAAAGATATCTTAAGTCAAAGTAGGGACTACCATGTGTTAAGGACAAAGTGCAAGTTGACAAAAGGCAGAGCATCCACCATTTACGTTTGTCAATTGCCACAGCTGTCACTTGGATAGGCTGTGGGATTATGGCATCTTCTTGCATTGTGAGTGTTTTTCTATGGAGAATCCTTCTGTCATGTACTCTCATACATGTGTTTTTCACCTTTCTACATGTGTGTTTATTAACCCCTTAAATACAAGAAACCAATAGCTTGAGAACAGCTCCAACACTCAAAGTGTTAAAGATTGCCTGTTCCAGTAACTGTTATGGGATAGAGAGGGAATGTGATGTTTTCAATAAAGACACATACAGTTTGTTTGTTGGAATTTAAAGCCTATTCCAACTAAGATCAGGTGTATAGACATAGTAGCCAAAAAGGGTTATTTGTCTTATTCTAAGTTTGATGATTATCTTGCATACTAAACACTTGTATTAGGACATTTTCATCTTTGGTTATATAATAAACATTCTTATAACTATTACATTCCCTGGCTTACTAAACTGGAATGTGTATGGTACCTGATTTTCACATTTGTTTAACAAACATTGTTACATTTGTCCCCAACTGTGATTCATATCCAAATACTCTCTATTGCATGCTTTTTTAAAATCAGAGTCTCCACATGCATTTGTTTCCTCCTCCTTTAGGAGCTAAAACCTAGCCTATTGGTAAGTATTTTTGTGACGTGAGAGAGAGCAGTGCTCTCTTGCATCGTATCTTGGACTGGTGCCTTATTCATGGCCCAGTTCCGGTGTCTTCCTGCCTCTCAACTTTGTCTTTTCACTGCTTACTCCCCTGTGTCTCCTTTTCCCATTTTCCTCTGGCTCAACTTCCCCCTGTGTTTCTTACCTCCAATGTTTCACTTACCATATCTCTTTTTCACTGTTAGCCTATACACATACTTTAGATAACTGAGCATGTGAATAATAACCCAAAGATTTTCAGTATCAACTGGTTTCTACTTTCCCTAGGCTCTCAAAGATGCAGGACACTATCTGCAATAAGGAGGACTGTTGGGAAGTATACATACACTGAGCACCCAAACATTATGGCATGACTCTAGAAAAGTATACTGAGTAAACAGCATGTGTTTATTTAGCCCAGACAGACATTCGATAGCACCCAGCAAAAAAACTGGATCTCTAACTCTCCTTGCTGGAATCAATGCCTTCAGCACCTTAGACATTTGCACTTTTTATGCTTGTATACTTGTATCAGTCAGCAGTTTGTATCAGGCCTGTTAAACATTATTTAAATAAGTGTAGCACTTTACCTGCATGCCAAAGGTCATTTTTACTTGGCAGGATTTTTATTTGTTTGTTTTACACTCTCACAATTTTTTATATTGGGTCTCTGAATTTGGGCATTGGAAACCAGTTTTGTGCCAAATCTGTCGAAGCTTATTTTGTATCACTATATGTCCTTGTAACAGGGAACATTTATAGTAGGTGTGCTGCTAAGTGATTTATACCTGCACAGTTTATTCTTTAAGTATGAAATTTCCATATTTCAAGAGTAAACCTTAAAAAACCAAAACAACTGCACTGCAGCATCCAACCCGGGGCGGTATTATCCAGCATTTCTCACTCACCTGCTCATGTCCAGAATACCCATAGTTAGTTTAGTTTGGCAGCATTTTGCTCAATAACATTCTATTGGACCGTGTTTAATCAAGTTGTCTCAGTGTTTTTCAGAGTTCTGTTTCTGCTACTGCAGAGAGACAGAGATAATTGCAAGAATGCCATACCCGTGTATGCAGTCTGATATTTCCATATATATATATATATATATATATATATATCATACACACATATTAAAACAGGCTGCCTAAT